AGAGTTTAGAAAGGGGAATGAAGAGATGTTTGGGGGTAATGGGTATATTCACAATTTGATCGTGGAAATGTTTTTATAGATGTGTACATATGTTACAACTTATCAAACTGTACAGTTTAAGTGTGTGCAATTTATTGCATGTCAATTATACCTCACCAAAGCTGTTTAAAGAAAAAGCTCCCCAGGTGATTCTCATGCACAGCAACGATTGAGAATCACTGTTCTTTTTTTTTATTTTTTATTTTTTTTTTTCTTAAATTTTTATTGTTCATACAAATGTCCCTTCCCCCCCCCCCTTCCCACCTCACCCTCTGCCCTTTCCCCAACCCCCATTGTCCTCATCCATAGGTGCACAGTTTATGTTCAGTCTCTTCTCACATCCCCCTCTCCCCTTTTCCCCAAGAATCATCAGTTCACTCTCCTTCCATACCTCTGATTCTATTATATTCAACAGTTAATATTGTTCCTCAGATTTTTTTTTAATTTCCTTGGTTTTTAGATTCACTTGTTGATAGTTTCGTATTTGTTGTTCATAATTTTTATCTTTATTTACTTTCTCTTCTGAAAGAACCCCCTTCAGCAATTCATATAATTCTGGTTTGGTGGTGATGAACTCCTTTAGCTTTTTTTTATTAGTGAAGCTCTTTATCTGACCTTCGATTCTGAGTGATAGCTTTGCTGGATAGATTATCTTTGGCTGTAGGTTCTTATTATTCATCACCTTGAATATTTCTTGCCATTCCCGTCTGGCCTGCATGGTTTCTGTTGAGAAGTCAGCTGACAATCGTATAGGTGCTCCTTTATAAGTAACTACCTGCTTAGCTCTTGCTGCTTTTAATATTTTCTCTTTGTCTTTTGCTCTTGGAATCTTAATTATGATTTGTCTTGGTGTGGTCCTCTTTGGATTCCTTTTATTTGGAGTTCTGTGTGCTTCCTGGACTTGTAAGTCCAATTCTTTCCCCAGGTGGGGGAAGTTTTCTGTCACTATTTCTTTCAATATGTTTTCGATATCTTGCTCTCTCTCATCTTCTGGGACCCCCATAATTCTGATGTTGGATCGTTTGAAGTTGTCCCAGAGGTTTCTTACATCATCTTCAATTTTCTGGATTCTCTTGCCTTCTAGCGACTGCAGAGGAGTATCTTCTGGCTCTTTATGTTCCAAATCTTTGACTTGATTCTCAATTTTCTGGATTCTCTTGCCTTCTAGCTTCTGCGGAGGAGTATCTTCTGGCTCTTTATGTTCCAAATCTTTGACTTGATTCTTGCGATCTTCTATTCTGTTTTTAGGACTCTGTATAATAGTTTTTATTTCAGACAATGTATTCTTTATTTCTTGTTGATCCCTTTTCATATCCTCATAAGTCTCATTTATTTTATCAGCCTTTTCTAGGAAACTCTTGAAAAACCTTATAAGTGTGGTTTTGAACTCTATATCCAGTCGCTGTTTGTCCTCCATTTCTTTCGTTTGTGATCTATTTGGTTTAGGCATTTTCGCAGGCAGCTTTCCTGATGGGGCGGGGTTTCAGGGTGGAGCCTACAGCTTTGGCTTCCGTCAGCCCCGCCCTATGCGGCTCCTGAGACTCAGGGTCCTTCAGTACTTGTTGTAAGCGCCTCTGAGAGAAAGGCGCCCTGGACCGCCTGCTACCAAACAGTCTAGTCTCTCCCCCAATGGGCCCGAAACTGGAGTTCAGTTCAGTTGGAAGTGGAGTTGGAGGTGGCGTTCAGAGCAGTCTGGAGCCCCTGTCTCCTTCCCGCCAGGCAATCCCGCGGCACAGCCGGCTGTCCCTTCTCTGCGCGGCGCCGCCGGGACCTCCTTTCGCCTCTTCCCCGGGTTCCGCCTTTCAGCCCGGCTCCCTCTGTGTGAGCCTGGGTCCCTGGGGTCTGGCCTAGGCCTGGGGTTCAGAGCAGTCAGAATGGGGGCCAGCACAGTCGGAGCTTTTATCTCCTTCCCGCTAGGGAACACCCGCCAGGCACTCCGCCGCCCTCCTCTCCGGCTCTGTCCTCTCCGCGCGCCGCATGTCTCTGTACCTTAGGCTTTTCCAGCTCCTCCGCGCTTCCTTCTGGTTTTCTCTTGCTTCTTGTTGTAGAATTTCCAGTCAGTCGACTTTCCTGTAGTTCTGGGTGATGTCCATTTTATATTTTAGTTGTATTTTATTGAAATTGTTGAGTGCGGCTGCGGCTAGGTGCCTACCCGAGCAGCCATCTTGGATTCTCTCCAGTCTGAGTAGAGAATCACTGTTCTAATAGAAAGAGCACACAACTGGAGGTAGAAGTTGGAGAGCCTTTCATCTGCCAAACAGTTGGCTCTGTACATGTTGATAAGGGCCGAATCCCTCTTAGATCTGTTTTATTCTGTTTTGTGGGTTTAATTTTTTTTCCCTCACATACTTGAAAAATAGTGGTTATACTATATTGAAATCCAGGGTTAGAAATTTTGTTCATTAGAAAGATGTGTCATTATTAAATGCACAATGAAATGTTACTTGAGCACTTCTGCATAATTGTTAGAAAAAAAGATATTATATACATAAAATTTGCCTTAGCTCTATTTTTTTTTACATACAGTTTAACTTTTTAGTGCGTTTGATCTTTTTTAGTGCTGAATTTGCTTATGCTAGTGATAAATTTTTTAATTGCAGTAATTGGTATCTAACTTAAGAGAAACATGTTCTGTTCTACTTGAATAATCAATAATTGTTTTAGGGTTGGTAGGTTGTTGATATTATTTTCTGACCTGGTAGCTGATGCACTTCCCAGCCATGGCCACACGAGGGGGCTGTGCAGCTGGCCGCCTCTTTCTCTCTACTGACATACTTGTAAAGTCAAAATAGTCTGGTCAGGATCTTTCTGTTCCTTTTGTCCTCTTGGTGAGTGGGAGCTCCACTTCTGAACCATCATTTTTAGCTGCCCTAACCCAGTGGTTCTGCCTTTCTTTAAGCAAAGTAATTCATGAATCTCTCAATGTACAAAATAGTTTTTAAAAAGACCAGCCCTGGCTGGTGGACTTAGTTGGTTGAGCATCATCTCATGCACCCAGAGCTCACTACAATGGATTCTGGTCAGGGCACGTGCCCAGGTTTCAGGTTTGATTGATACTCAGTAGGGGGCATGCAGAAGGCAATGGATCAGAGGTTCTCCATCATCAATGTTTCTCTCTCCCTCTCTCTAAAATAAAAAATAAAACATATTTGAAATTTCCTTTAAAAAAAGAGACTCCCAAAATAATTAAAATAGGACTTAATTGAAGTGTATGCGCATGCATATGTATATATGTACATATGCATGTATCTATTAGTAAGCACATCCTATCTAATAAAAGAGTAATATGCAAATTAACCATCACTCCACTACACCCACAAGCCATGCCCACCAGCCAATCAGGAGCAAATAAACCCAACCAAGCTGGCTATGGCTACAGAGAGCAGGAGGGAGGCTTGGATTTTCTCCGGCAATAGAGGAAGCCAAGCTTTCCATCTGCCCTTGCCAGCCTAGGCCTCTACTCAAAGTTACAAAGTTTCAATGATAGAAGATACATAAATCCCAACAGAAATGGCTACCACCACGGAGTAAGCAGAAGGCTTGGCTCCACTCCAGGCTACAAAGTTTCAATTGTAGAAGATAAATAAGCCCCTGGTACCAGAGCCTCCACTTGGGTTGCCAGGAGGTGTGGCCAGCCTGAAAACCACCACAGGTCCCTTGCCCAGGCCACCCCACACCCCAAGGGAACCCCCATCCTGATCCAGGACACCCTTCAGGGCAAACCAGCTGGCCCCCACCCGTGCACCAGGCCTCTATCCTATCTAATAAAAGAGTAATATGCAGATTGACTATCACTCCAACACACAAGATGGCTGCCCCCATGCAGACACAAGATGGCCTCCACAAGATGGCCAGCAGGGGAGGGCAGTTGGAAGGGACCAGGCCTTCAAGGGAGGACAGTTGTGGTGATCAGGCCAGTAAGGGAGGGCAGTTAGGAGGGACAAGGCCTGCAAGGGAGGGTAGTTGGGGGTGATAAAGCCTGCAGGGGAGGGCAATTAGGGATGATCAGGCTGGCAGAGGAGGGAAGTTGAGGGCAACCAGGCCTGCAGGGAAGGGCAGTTGGGAGGGACCCAGGCCTGCAGGGGAGCACAGTTGGGGGTGACCAGGCCTGCAGTGGAGGGCAGTTAGGGGCAAACAGACTGGTAGGGGGGCAGTTAGAAATCATTCAGGCTGGCAGGTGAGTGGTTAGGGGCAATCAGGAGGGCAGGCAGGCGAGCAGTTGGGAGCCAGCAATCCTGGATTGTGTGAGGGATGTTCCAGATTGGAGAGGGTGCAGGCTGGGCTGAGGGACACCCCGCCCCCACCGTGCACAAATTTTGTGCACCATGCCTCTAGTTAACAATAATACTCTACCACCCCTAGGAAAACGATTCATCCATATAAAAAGGCAGTTATATGTTTGTTATAGTTGTAATTTCAAGATTCTTCAGGGAATAGACATTGCTTAGGTGAAAAATAGAATAAAGGTAAACAAAGAAGCCAAGTCGTTTTTCCATTGTAATGTGATATGAAGTACTTAAATGGGTTAAGGTATTAATGTGTGTTTATCTCTGTGTGTGTTTACATACACTGAGATGAATAGGTTGGCTAAATGTTTTAGAATAGAATCTATGCAGACACTCTGGGTATTTATCTCTGGACAGTGAAAACAATATGGATGCCCCAGAAGAGATTGGTTAGAACTAATGTTACAAAATGATCTATGTCCTAAACTTTAGTAAATGCATTACTTTACAATTCAGCTACTTCAAATTGCTTTTTGAAGTTCAAAAACAGCATGGACAAAACAAACAAAAAATTAAAAAAAAAAAAAAATAAAAACCACACACACACCTCACCCCAATATACAGAATTTTCCAAATAACACTATAAAAGCTTAATGTTCAGTAGCCCTGTCTTTTTTTTTTTTTTTTTTTTTGGTCTGATTGCAGTTTTCTTCCATTTTGATTTCTAAATTTCAGATTATTCTATGAGCCAGTCACAACACCGTGTGGACACACATTTTGTTTGAAATGTCTTGAGAGATGCCTAGACCACAATGCGAAATGTCCACTGTGCAAAGATGGTCTTTCACAGGTAAAACATTATTTCTTTTTGGTCAGATTGGCTTATTTGGAATTGGGTATTTAAGAAAATGTCCTATTGGATCCCAAGCCACTGCACTGTGCTGGGGCAAAATACTCCCTTAGACCATCTATCTCTTTCTTCTGTCTTATAGCTACTCCTCCCCTCTCCACTATGTCCTTCAGAAAAATGAGGCAATGCCTACCCTTTTATTAACTGTTGGTAATGAAATAAGCTCATGTTGGAAACAAAAGTATTAAATTGGTGATAAACGGATTCTTGTTCTAATCCCATCATGGCACCCAATTCACTGTAATGTGTGAATTTTATGTTCTCTTTAGGCTTGGACTTAGACAACCCCTGATGTCCCTTTATTGTCAACATTTATACTGTGTGTGCTTTTAAAATTCTTTATTATTGAAAGTTTTACATATGTCTCCTTTTCCCCCCATTGACCTCTCCCAGCCTACTCTTGCCCTCATATACTGTGGTTTGAAGAGATCATTCCTAAGGCTGCAGAAACCTCACGGACTTTCAATATGGTCCTCATTCTGCCCTCAGAAGCTGCTAAATTTATTAGCAGATCCTTGGCTACTTGAAAAACTCTGAAGTGTCTAGGTTCTCTGAAATGAATCACACAAATTGCCACCTTGTTTTTCAAGTTGGCCTGATGGGATTTTCTTTAGAAAAAGAACATCCAGGAGTCCAACTTGTTTTCCCTCCCTCAGGGACTTGTATGCCACATTTTACAATCAGCATTAATGTTGCTTGACCCCTGTCATCCCTGAGGAGAGGGTGGAGACACAAGACTACCTCTAGGTGAACGTAGGTCCAGAGAAATCACATGTTGAGCTTTCCCAACACCCCGACTTTTAAATGAAGGGAATAGAGTGAAATAATCACATGGGACAGCACTGAAGGTGTGATTGGGTTGGAGGAAGGGTCAGCATCATCCTTGCCTAGATAAAGAGGTGAGATTCGCTGGCCATATTGTAGGTGAGAAGCCTATGGTCCTTATACTTAAGTGATATGTTTGTGTTACGATAACACTGCAACACTCAGATAAACAGAAAAAAGAAAAGTCTACCATTATGCTCTTCACCTGGAGAAAACTATTGTTAACTGTTAAGTATATGCCCTTCCTGGGTTTTGTTTGAGCATCAGTAGTCACCTTCTTGGTTTGGCTACCTCCTGAGCCATTGATTTTACCCAAGACCAGGACTAGGCAAAGCAGGTGGTTCTCCTACAGTCACACAATGGCAGTGGCTGATAAGACATCCTGGAGACAGATGCTGTGGGGTCCCAGACTTAGGGGCTAGAAGATATTATCATATATCACTTTGTTTTCACAAAGGTCACACTTACACCATTCCCAGGGAGATAAATATCTTATTTCAATCATATTCAGTGCAGAATAGACAAATATAGCCCATACTGGGAAAGGAGAAATTGTCTGAAGGTAACAATTTTATACTCAGGAACTCCCACTGCTGGGCATGTGTGGGTAGCTTCCATAGTGAGCAATTCTCGGCAGATGTTTTATTACCAGGTCCAAATAGTTTAATGCCTTATACTTACAGATGCCTGGATTTGCATGTGATAGGGATGTTTGGGAGGAGAGAAATAGTGACAATTGAGCCTGAGTTCAGTTCTGAAATCATGGTTTATAACATAACTTCCGTGATAACTAGATGATATATATATTTTTTTAAATCACCAGTATTTAGCCGGGACTGGTTTGGCTCAATGGATAGAGCGTCGGCTTGGGGACTGAAGGGCCCCGGGTTCGATTCCGGTCAAGGGCATGTACCTTGGTTGCGGGCATATCCCCAGTAGGAGGTGTGCAAGAGGCAGCTGATCGATGACTCCCATTGATGTTTCTAACTCTCTATCTCTCTCCCTTCCTCTCTGTACAAAAAATCAATAAAATATATTTAAAAATTTTTTTAAAAAAATAAAATCACCAGTATTTAGTTGTGTATTTTTTAAGATAGAGAACAAAAAAATATTTAGGCTTGAAATATCCAGAAGCCAAGCATTGGGGTGAGGTGGGGGTGGGGCAGGGCAGGAAAGGATCAATGGTTAAAAATTACTTTTTAGTTCCCTGAACCTTTTGACCATAGACATTCACATGTCTCAGATGGAGACTGTTTCTGTGAGCTTATAAACACAATAATCAGAAAATGGAAAGGGAAGGATTTCTCCCCTCTTTTGACAAGAACATGATCTCAATTTTAGTGTTTGAGAAAGCAGTGAGATTTTTAAGACATAAATGCAGGTCTTTTTCCCTTGTTAGAATATTTTTTTCTCATTATCAGAATAATCAGTTTCACTGAGTTTATCAGGATGATCTTGGTTAATAAAATCATATAGATTTTAGGTGTACAATTCTATATCACCTGTATATTGTATTGTGGGTTCACCACCCAAAGTCAAGTTTCCTTCCATCACCATTTATCCCACTCTTTACCCTTTTTTACTTCCTCCACCCTTGCTTCCCCTCTGGTAATCACCCAACTGTTGACTGTTCTAACACTCAGAGAATACATACATTATGATAGTATGAGCTGCTAATGTGTGGGCCCAAATTACTCCAATATGTGGGTAACTTGACTGTTCTACTGATTGCATAAGAAGTGCTTTGTATTTTTCTGATGTCTGCATAATATCCAATTGCCTCCTTCCTCATATAGTGCTTGGCACCAAGAAAGTACAACAAAAACATTATAATGGAAGAGCTAATAGCCAAATTCCTTCCAGAAGAACTCAGTGAACGAAAGAGGCTTTATGAAGAGGAAATGGAAGAACTTTCTAAGTATGTATATGCATGTTTCTATTTTCAGTTTTACTTATATCAGTTCATAGAGCTGAATGCACATTTTATTCTAACTTCTCATTCAGTGATACCATGTCAATAGCTTGAAGTTGGCCGTGGTGAGAGTATTTGCACTATGGAAATTGGCAAATGCTATACACCAGGGATTCCCCCACCTCCAGAAAGTCAGTTGTTCAACATTTACCAGTACACTGGTGAAGAAGCATAAGCCAAACCACTGCCAGGTCAGATTTTGGCACTAGTAATTAGGTGTCACTGGCAGGAGTCAGTTGAAGTAGCTTAAGTGTCCAGAAGACTGTTTTCAAATACATAAGGAGGTGCTATGAGGTTAAGAACTTTGGTGTCAGCTAAACCTGGACTTATGACCCAGTTTTGCCACAAAGTGAATGTATTTCATGACTCTAGGCAAGTCACTTCACCTCTCTGGGCCTTGTTTCTCATTGGTAGTTTAGGGATGATAGTAGTTCTTACCTCATGGACTTGTTATGAAAATCAAATGAATTAGTGGCTAGTAAGTACTTAATAAATGGTAATTGTAAGAGAGCTGTGTCCTCTGCCATGTACAGGTGATGAGAGGTGAAAGGTAAGGATGGGGATGCAAGTAGGGCTCCAGGTTCTCTGCCTGGCTGGAAGAACAGCTCACTTAGCAGACAAAGCAGGAGGCAATCACTGATTTCTGCCTCTCATACTGCTGCCCTCCTATCTCAACCCCAATGGAATCCTCACAGCATTCTGGGGGTGAGGTTCCATGTGGCAAAAACTGTTCTGGTTTTATGCCTGCCCTGTAGAGAACCATTTATATACTGCCATCAGCTTATACTGTCTAAATGTCCCTCTCACTTTGAACATGTTTTCCTGGGAAGCTAGTAATTAAATCCTTTTTTATTTTTTCCCTCATTGACTTATATTACATCTACTCAGGGCATCTTTTTTTTTTTTAAGGTATTATATGTGAACATATCTTACCATTGCCCCCCCCCCCCCACTCAGGGCATCTTTATCTTTATTTCTGATTCTTAAGTTTGTGTTGAATCTCTCTGAGCCCTCCTCTCACATATTATTTAACGTCTTATTAACAAAAACTGGAATATACTATAGAGAACTATATTACATTTCTACTTAAAGGCATCCTAAATTTAATCCTTTGGAGATTTGGACAAATGGTCTTATACCTATTGATAGGTTTAGCTGTTCCTATATTGGATTTATTTGACACATATGAGAACAGGGTCTAGGAGGAGCTGACCCAGTTGGTGGAACCCACTCAGGCTTTGTGTCTGAACCTTCATGGCACTTGTTAAGGGCAAACTCCTGGGTCCTGATTCCATAGCTGGTGCACAAGAGTCTCAGGGGGTATTGCAGCCTGCTGGTCTGGATATAAGGGCCCTCAGTGATCCTGCTGCACAGGTGTATTTGAGCATCACTAAGCTAAATTAATCTCACCTTCCATTCCTCCCTCTTCCTCCCAGCTGGACCTGCCATGCAGATTTCTAGGGGCTTTGCAAATTTGAGGTGCAGAAAATGTAGAGAATGTCCCACCATTGTTCTGAAGATCTGGGCCCACTTATACCACAAGTACCCTTCCCCATACTGCCAGCAAGACACCTGGAGAGATTGTTGAGTGGACAGCATGAAAGAAGAAAAAAATATGAAGTATAGCTGTCACTTACCATGCTAATGTACTACATAGAGAACTTTAGCCACAAATTAGATTGTGTAGAATGTTCATTTTTACCTCAGCCCTTAGGCTAACCCCATCATGAGACTCAGCCCACAGCATCAGTTGCATTTCAGTATTTTTTATCAGCCATAAAAACTTGATGTTTCTGCCTGACCAGCATGGCTTACTGCTTGAGTGCTGACCTATGAACCAGGAGGTCATAGTTCAGTTCCTGGTCAGGGCACATGTCTGGGCTGTGGGCTCGATCACCAGTGGGGGTTGTGTAGGAGGCAGTTGATCATTGGTTCTCTCTCATCATTGATGTTTCTATCTTTCCCTCTTTCTTCATCTCTGAAATCAATAAAAATATATATTTTAAAACAACAACAACAAACACTTAATGTTTCCTTACCTTCCTGTGGAGGAACCACATGGTGACATGTGACCAGCCTTTCTGTGTTGTGCTCCATTGCACTGAGAATCATGTCATTTACTCTTCCTTACAGCTTAAATAAGAATGTGCCTATTTTTGTGTGTACTATGGCCTATCCCACCGTTCCTTGTCCCCTACACATATTTGAGCCTTGCTACCGTCTGATGATTCGTAGATGCATTGAGACAGGCACAAGACAGTTCGGCATGTGCCTTGGAGATCCTGTCAAGGGGTAAGTGAGGAACTGTGTGAGTCAAGGAAGGTGGGTGGCGAAAGCTTTTGGTTTTCCTTAGGACTTTCCCAGGAGATTGGGAGGTACTATTCAGGAGACTTAGCCAGGTCATGACCATAGGCATTTGTAAGGATCAGGATCCCTCTAGTTCCCAGTTTAGTATGTGAGAGGCTGCTTATTTACTTCCTTATCTCCTTATTTATTTATTTATTTTTAATTTTATTTTTTATCTATTATTTAATAAATATTGTTCAGATTATTACAATTGTTCCTTTTTTCCCCCCATAGCTCTCCTCCACTTGATTCCCACCCTACCCTCTGCCCTTACCTCCCCCCCTCCACTGTCTTCACACATAGATGTATGATTTTTGTCCAGTCTCTTCCCATACTCCTTTTTCCCTGAGAATTTTCAGTCCTTTCCCTTTATATATCCCTCATTTTATTCTATTCACCAGTTTATTCTGTACATCATATTTTTAGTTCACTTAATTTTTAGATTCACTTGTTGATAGATATGTATTTATTGTTCATAATTTTTATCTTTACTTTTTTCTTCTTCCACTTCTTACAGAATACCTTTCAGCATAATACTGGTTTGGTGGTAATGAACTCCTTTAGCTTTTTCTTATCTGTGAAGCTCTTTATCTGACCTTCAAGTCTGAATGATAGCTTTGCTGGGTAGAGTAATCTTGGTTGTAGGTTCTTGCTATTCATCACTTTGAATATTTCTTGCCACTCCCATCTGGCTTGCATAGTTTATGTTGAGAAATCAGCTATAACCGTATGGGTGTTCCCATGTAAGTAATTAACTGTTTTTTTCTTGCTGCTTTTAATATTTGCTCTCTTGGCATTTTAATTATGATGTGTCTTGGTGTGGTCCTCTTTGGATTCCTTTTGTTTGGGGTTCTGTGCGCTTCCTGGACTTGTAAGTCTATTTCTTTCACCAGGTCAGGGAAGCTTTTGCTCATTATGTCTTCAAATCCGTTTTTATTATCTTGTTCTCTCTCTTCTTCTGGCACCCCCATTATTCCGATGTTGGTATGCTTGAAGTTGTCCCAGAGACTTCTTACACTATCTTCAACTTTTTGGATTCTTTTTTCTTTTTGCTTTCCCCAGTGAGTGTTTTTTGCTTCTTTGTATTTCAAATCTCTAGTCTGCTGTTGGGTCTCTATATAATATTTTTTATTTCAGTCAGTGTATGTTAATTTCTAATTGATCCTTTTTTTATATTCTTGAGGGTCTCACTAAATTTATCAACGGTTTCTAAAAATTCTTGAAAAACTATAACTATGGTTTTGAACTCTGTATTCAGTTGTTTGGTTTCCTCCATTTCTTTTGTTTGTGATCTATTTCTTTGTCTCCGCATTTTTGCTCTTTCCCTGAATTGGTAGGGTGGCTTTGTATGCTTGGTGTCCTATTTGGCTAAGTGGCTCGGCCTCCCCAGTTACCTGAGGTGGACACTCTTGGTGCACCCCTTTGTGGATTGTTTACAGCCTTGTTGTAGTTACAGTCTTGATTGTTGTTGGTATCAACTGGGAGAAATTGACCTCCAGACCAATTGCCTGTGAGGATCAGCTATGTCTATGCCAGGAGAACTTCTGTGCTGGAGACAGCCTTATAGACAGCCTTATAAGACAAGACTCGTAAAATTGCAAAAGCCTCTTTGCTCGGCTTGTATGGGGCAGAGTCTCAGGGCTGATTAGACAGTCTTGGTTTCCAGCCAGCCCTGCCCTATGAGGCCCCTGGGCCTCAGTGTCTCTCAGTAATCACTGCAAGCACCTCTAAGAGTAAGTTGTCCTTGAATTTCAGCCACTGCCAGACAGTCCAGTTTATCCCCCAATGAATCTGGATTCCCAGATTCTCATGCAGAACTGGAGTTCAGTGCAGTGGGGAGATTCCATTTCCCACCCACTAGAGAAAGCCAGTAGTGCACTCGGCAGTCAGTTCTCTCTTTGCACACATGTGCACTTGCATGCATGCCTCTAGACTTCTGCCTTTCGTGGCTCCTCTGAGTTTCCACCTGACAGTCCAGATTCCCCCAATATAAGCCTGGGTCCCCAGAGTCTTGCCTGGAACTGAGGTTCAGTGCAGTCAGAACTGGGGTTCAGCACATTCGGGAGCTTTTGTCTTCTTCCCGCTAGAGAAAGCCAACAGGCACTCAACCGCCTGCATGTATGTCTCCGTACCTCAGCCTTTTGCAGTTCCTCTGATTCTCTGTGTGCTTTCCTCTTTCCTTCTAGTTGTAGAATTTCCACTCGGCCAGCTTTCCTGTGGTTCTGAATGATGTTCATTTTGTCTTTTAGTTGTAGTTTTGAAATTGTTGTGTGAGGCAGCAGTTTAGGGGTTTACCTATGGTGCCATCTTGATTTCTCTCAGAGAGGCTGCCTATTTAAAGGAACCTCAGAATAATTCCTTTGTTAAGTGGGTAGCATATACTATAAAACTTCTTTTGAGGTGGGCTCTGGAGTCAAATTGCCTGAGTTCATATTTGGGCTTCAGCCTTGGAACAAGTTTGACTTTGGGCAAGTTACTTAACCTTGATTGTGACTCAGTTTCCTTATCTGTAAAATGGGTACAATAAGAATGCCTACATCATTGGGTTTGTGAGTTAATAATGCACAAAAATCACTGAGCATAGTATCGTAGTACATAGAATGTACTCAATAAATACCAGCAGTTATATTAATATATTAAAAAAAATTTCACACAGGCACTGCCTGTTGTATAGCTGTGGCTATAGATCCTGGGACAGGTGAATAGGCAGAAGTCCCTTGAGCCACAGTACGGTGTAGAAATGGCTTGGTGAGGCCAGGGAAACAACTCATGAAGATTTCAGTTTCTTGACTTTATTTCCAATAAACAGGTTTGCAGAATATGGCTGCATCCTAGAAATCAGAAATGTTCAGTTCTTTGCCGATGGCCGTTCAGTGATTGACAGTGTGGGCAAGAGGCGCTTTAGGGTCCTTCGTCAGGGCCAGCGGGATGGCTACAACACAGCCGATATTGAATATATTGAAGACCAAAAGGTAAGGGTGGCTAGTGCCAAGAATCCCAAAGCCAGGTTATTCCTGTGGCTTGGCAGATGGATTGGTTGCAAAAAGATCCCTTAACATCTTTGGGGGCCTTGGGATTTCTTATCAAATTGATGCCACAACGTTGAATGCTGCCTGATTGTCACTGAGTTGTAGAGTGGCAGTGAGAGCACTCCCCCTGCCCTGGCTCTCCCTGCTTAGTTGCTGAGTTATATTTGTGGATAATAAATGCCAAGCCAGACCAACCCTTGGGCCCATTCTGCTAAGAGTCAGGTCTCTGCCAGGGGTACCAAAGAATATAGCTGGAGCAGGGTCTACACATGTGTATTGCTTTATCAATTTATTTATATTTTAAAATGTTTTCTTTTGAGATAATCATAGAGATTCACACACACATTTGTATTTCAAAATGGGCAACCTGGCTAAGAGCTCTTCCCAATAATACATCATTTGCTAAGGCAGCAAGATGACAATCCATTTAATCCTTTGTTTTCTGGACTAATGGGCAGAAGAGGAGATGAATTTGTGTTCATTTATACTTACAGTCAGTACGTAGGACACTATTAATAAGTATTTGATCAATGAAAAAAATATATTCAACTTAGAAGATAAAGTTATAAAGTGAGACACAGGCACATTCTTGTCTCTCTTACCAGTAAGCAATGAGAAAGCAGGTGTAAAAAATGAAAAGGAGAGAGGCATAAGCCATCATAACCTAGTTTAAGATCAAGCCTCCACTTAGGCCAGTTTGCATTTCTGGTTTTCTATGTGTTGCTCTTTCAGCCAGTTTGCCCAGTCAAATATTTCTCTTTCCTCCACCCTCAGCAGTATTTACACAGTCCATCATCTGGCTGGGGAGCCTTTCACATTCCACACAAGAGAAAGCTGGGTGGGTGAGCTTTTCCATAGGGGGGACAGGATGGATGCTCAAAAAGAGTCAGGTACCAATAGTGGCTCTAGGAGTAATGGAGAAGGTACAGAATGTTTCACTTTCACTTTGATACTTTCAGGTTCTAGGAGAGGATTATGATGAACTCATGGGATTACATAACTGTGTCTATGAACAAGCATCATCATGGTTTCATTCGCTCAAAAATTCTCTTAGGAATCGGATAATCAATCACTTTGGTCCAATGCCAGACAAAGATGCGGATCCTCAGGTATATAAAGTGTCTCTTTTTAATTGGTTGTCCCCAGCAAATGAAAGAATCTGGGGTTTGTGATTAGATGGATGTGTGGTCATCTAGCAAATCAAATGCATGGAACAAGATAAATCTAATCTGGTATTGTGTGGCTGGGCATTAGGCATCAGGGGTAAGACCAAAAGGATCCCAGGTCAGAATTCCAGGAACTAAAGTACAGCAGTAAGAATGTGGGTCCAAGACAGGTTTTGACAGATAAGTCAGGTGAGAGATCGGTACACAGACACCATCAAAAGGAGAACCTCGCGTGGGAGTCCAGATTCACACCATGATAATGTGTTCAGGTGACAAGATTCACATAAAGGCCAGGCTTGAGAGAAGGGTGTCCTGATAGCTGAGATCAAAGGCTGCCACTTCCAGTGAGCTTCATAACTGTCTCCTTCCCCTCCACACACATTGTTTCAGGAGCTAGAAAATAGGGCCAGCTACCTTAACACATTCCAACTGCAAGTCCACAGAAACTTTTCACTCCTCGGTCTTTTCATGCCTAGTCCTGTGGATCTAGACCCTTGTCATTGTCCTCATCAGGGGTGAGAAAGACCTGAGAAAATGGACACAGTAATTAAATGAACCATTGGCTGAGTTATACTAGAAAGTAGTTCATTGGGATCTACTGAGTCAGTCTATTTCTTAGGGGGGCAGTTCCCTTTGAGAAATCAAGCTGCAGACCAGAAGTTCTCCAGGAAATTGGAGATGGTTAAAATTCACCAAGCTTTGCTTGCCTGGTATAAATCAGAGGACACTCTTTTTCTAGGACAAGACTGGAACTATCCTAGCCAAATATTTCCCCACAGTCACCTTTCCCACATTTTGAGTTGGCTCTCCTATATCATCCCTCCTCCAGAACTTTCTGGATTCTTTGCTTACACACATTCCTGACTCTCTCACAATAATAAAATAGAATATGTGTATTCTGACATCCCTGCCAAAAGACTAGTCATACCTCTCTAGCTGTGTGAGCTTGGGTAAGTCCCTTCCCCTGTCTCCATTTTTCTCCCATCTTTGAACTGAAGCAGATAGATTAAGAGGTCTCTAAATTCTCTTCTTTCTTTTGCATTCTGAGGCTTTAAAAAACTAGCCTGTTCCTACTGGGCTGAAATGTCTTGCTCTCTTCAGATCACAAAGGTGGCTCCTTTTCCCCATAAAAAAAAACATCATGAATGTTGAAGGGAGAAAGGCCAATTAGTGCTTCCCAATAAATAACCCAGCTCCGGGTTCTGGGACACTGTGACTCAGGACTACAGCAGAGCTCTGAGGAAGCTCATGATAGAACTTAATGTTCTCTTTCACTCACCTTCTGGAAAGCATTCTCCACGGGTCAGGCAGAAAATAGCGATCAGCAATGATAACATCTTCTACAAAAAAAAAAAACAAAAAAAAAACAAAAAAAACATGCTACAGAGTGATTCATAAGGGCTCAATACGTAACAGAAAGCTGAAACATGGGGTTTCATTTCCTTTTTATTGGGACTGTTATCGTGTTGCTTTGGCAGCAACAGCAAACAAACAAAAAAGCCAAAATTACATCCAGTTTGATCCAGACAGTGCGCCAGCGCCAGTGGTACTGTTAATAAAAATGTTCTAAGCTTTGGGAGAAGGCTTCTTAGAAATAGTCAGATATTAACATCAGCTTAAATATCTTCGTTAATTATCCTGGGAAAGAGAAAGTTCAGAATATGTCCATCTAATATTCAAAACTGATAATAGGAGGAAGAGTATATTACAGACTGCAGTGAGGGACAAAAATTAATCCAACTAAAGCTGGAGACACAGAGAAGGCAAGAGGGCAGTGAGGTTTGGGGCATAATTAAGTGAACCAATTTGGAGACAGATAATCCCACATGTAGGTAATTTGACCAGAATGTGGTTCGCTACAGTCCCCAAACCAGCCTTCAGAAAATTGGGGGCAGAAAGCTCATTTCGGGCTTAGTAGGAGAAAAACAGAATTTTGGTGAAAGGTTTGTGTGGGATGGGAAAGGTCTTTTAGTGAAAGGATCCATTTCACTAAATGTATCCTGGGCACAGGATACATTTCTTATGGGAATGTATTTTATTTTTATTATTATTTGTATTATCTTTGTTGTTGAAAGTATTACAGATGTCCCCTTTTTGAAATTTTTGTGAAATGGGATTGTTGGGCTTTGGGGCTATGCACCACAGGATTGGTTTCAGGAGAGAAGCTAACTGTAACTGTGGCCCTATATAGACATAGCATATGTGGACTATAGTGCCTTCAGCCAGAAGCAGGGAAATGAAGTGAGTTAAGAGACATGCAAAGCCTAAGGGATCATGAAAATTGAAGGTCCACAAGCTGCATATATCAGTCTAAAGGATCTGAAATAGAATCTTAGAAGTGGAAGAGACTGAGTAGTGGATATTCCAGCTTGTTAAATCACACTGGCTAGGAAGTATAGTGAATCTGTTAGAATACTGATTTGCTTCCTTTAACAACTACCAAAAATAACTAACTTAAACAAAATAGCAGGCATATATGTCCAGGAGGCCTAGGGCAGCTCTGTTCTATGAGGTCATTCCATTCTTACAGGTTTCATCCTCACAAAGCTCTACCACCCTTTGACTGTTCCCCTAGTCCTCCTGACCACCATGTCCATGTTCTAGTTAGGGGGAAAGGAGAGAAGAGGAAAGTGGAGAGCATGTGCCCCCTTCCTAGGGCATGCATGACCCAGAAGTCACACATATCACTTCCCTTTACATCTAATTTGCCACAACTTTGTCTGATGGTCTCACCTAGCTGCAAAGGAGGTTGAAAACTGTTGTCTTTTTCTGGGTGGCTATGTACCCAGCTAAGATAAGGGGAAATAGGTACAGGGGCAATTATCAGTCTCTGCTACACACAGAAGCAGTTTCACCTGGGATATTTACTTTACTACTTTGAAAACCTGCACACTGATGTCAATTGCACAGGAATAAGATGAAATCATTTTGTTTCTCTGTTACAGATTAACCCAAATGGTCCAGCCTGGTGCTGGTGGATATTAGCAGTTCTGCCACTGGAAAGCCGTGCTCAGCTTCCGTTCCTAGCAATGAGGTCCTTGAAGGATAGACTGAATGGCATTCGGCGCATCCTCGCCTTTATAGCACGAAACCAAAACTAGTGAGAGTGGATTGATGAAGAGGAATTTTTACCCTCTCTACTGCCTAGGGGAGTCATCTTGTAAATATATCTAATTGCAATAACAGCTTAACTAAAGGAAGTATCAAATAGAGGCATTATCCTGCTGTTGATTACAGAGAGAAATTCAGTTGAAAGACCAAATAATGTGACTTGTTAGAAACTTTCTGTGTTAAGATACTTCTTGACATGCTGCACAACTATACCCACAGCAGAGGTGTTAGAGAGTGCAGAAAAAAATTGCTCTTGACATAAAATTTCCTGAAAGTTTAAAGTGGTTTTGCTTGAATTCTCTTTCTTTCATCAGTGAATGACTATGTGATTGAAATGTGAAGCAAAGATACTAATAATGTTGCTGCATTATTTCACTGACTTGAGGTCCTATTCCAAATAGTACAGGTTTTATAAAGCATTGTATAAAATAATATTTATACTCCTATTGGTTTTAATAATTTATTTTTTGCACTATTGTATCCTTTTTTCTACATGTATGTTTGTAACTATTTAAGTGTACATTACTGAATTCACTTGCTTTATTTATTGATATATTTAACCATGTAACTAGAAGGAAGTAACAATACTAGAAATGTGCCGTTTTTGCTTTAACCATTTTCTACTAGGTTTGATCCCAGTTCTTGAACCATTTTTGTATCTATCCAATTGGATGCTTACAGGAACAGTATAAAATACTTAAGGTTTTACCACAGATTGTAGAATAAGCCAGGATAAAGTAAAATCATCCATTTTCTATGTGTTATACAGAGCAAGACTGAAAGAATTATTTTTCTAGAATGAAGCAATGAATCAGAAGAGTGTCTTTTTATTGCAGACATTTATCTGAGAGATTTAATTCTATGTTTCTAATCTCTCCCCAGTTCAGTTAGGGATGGGCTTTTTAGGCAAGATAATAACCTTTCTAAGGAGATGGTTTTCAGTTTGGCATGTCACAGTGAGTCCCAACTAGCCTCCATACCCTGCCTCTTTTCAGGGTTCTGAGGGCCACAGCCTGGCCAGCATGTGTGGAAATACTTGATGAAAGACTGTCCATTATGAAAAGTGCAAAGAAGCTGGTAGAAAAGGTAAAATGCTTAAAAAACAACCCAAACTGTCATTTTGGTTTTTTAATCTTCTTAAAGGAAACAAAAAGCTAATACATGATTTTATCTACAGTTGCCTTTCCTCCTAGTTCCATTGGGCCAAAGATTTCAATATAGGGAAGAATGGTGGGTAAGGAGGTAAGAGTGAGCCCTGGTTTAACTTGCTTTAGAGATAGTGTGGTTCCTTTAGTGCCAGGTAAACTGAAAAATGGCGTATGTATGGGAGTGTTATAATGATGAGTGAAAAGATTAGGGCAGAGAAGAAGTGAATCATGCCATTTGTACATTTAAGAAAATAACCATCCTCCTCTACCCTATTATTCAGAACTGCAGCAGTGCGTTGTTTACTTGAAGCCTGTCCATTCTGTTAAGGTGAGAGGTTAATGCCTCAAATAATCACTATGATTTCTTGCATCACCACCTGTGACCAGAAACAGAAAAAGCAAAATGAGATAATCTGCACTTTCTTAATGGACGCTATGTTGTCAGAGCATCATATTACCAGGTTTAATGTTTGGAGCCAGACTGGGCTGATGAAGAATGGAAGGACAGGCATGAATATTGCCCACTAAAAAGCTGCAAGACTCCAAGAGCATAATATTACAGACTACCCCTCCAACTTGGTGCACACCATGTAGTCATAACAGTTTCCTATTGTCTAGTATAAATGTAAACCCTCTCCCCACCCAAAAAAAAAAAAAAAAGGTCATAAGCATCTCCACTTGCTAGATGTGTTACTTTTGTGATTTAATTTTTTTTCCCCTCAGCCCCCGTTTTCTCATCTGGCAAATAGTAATAATAAATACCACATATAGGGTTGTAATGAACATCAAATGAGGTAATATATGTAAACCAATTAGCAGAGTGGTTTAGGATACACTCAACAAATAATATATATGATTAGTTTATTCATTGTTATGGAATTTCTTCAGGGCCCTATATTTGCATAAAATGCTACCTTTACTCACAATACCCATTTCTAGCCCCTTTAAACTCAGTTGCACCACTAAGTATTGGACGGTAATCTGATGCTTTACAGATAGTTCCTTTTGGAGTCAAGTCTGTTTTGGAAAGTGAGAAGACTTAGAAAACAAGTAAGGTTCAGGGATAAAGGAGAATTCTGAGTAAGCAAATTTTTCTTATTTCAATAGAGCTAAAATGTAGTATTGTTTGGAGGTCTAAATTTTCTAATTAAATGGAAGCCTTAAGTTGTATAGAATAACCAACTCATCACTCCTTGCTCTCCAAAATGTATTGAAAATCTTGGCCATGCCAAGGTGAGTGAATTTTACAATTTATGACTTTTATACTTAGGTCATGGTATTTCTTTCTTTTTTTTTTTTTAATACATTTTATTGATTTTTTTACAGAGAGGAAGAGAAAGGGAGCGTTAGAAATAGCGATGAGAATCAGCGATCAGCTGCCTCTTGCACACCCCTTACTGGGGATGTGCCCACAACCAAGGTACATGTCTTCGACTGGAATCAAACCTGGGATCTTTTAGTTCGCAGGCTGACACTCTATCCACTGGGCCAAACCGGTTTCAGCAGGTCATGGTATTACTTTATGCTGCCCCAATAAAAATGTATTGCGAGCCTAACACATACCAGGTATTGAGCCAGGTGGTTTCATATACATGAGCCTGTTCAATTATTTTATTTCTCACATCTGCCATGTGAGATCACATCATCTCCATATTGGATAAGAATGCTGAGGCTCTGCAATATTACATACTTTGCCTAAGTAACATACACTGAGTGGCCAGATTATTACGATCTCTGAATATACATTCAGAGCAAGACTGAAAGAAATCTGGCCACTCATGTATATCCTATATAATAAAAGGCTAATATGCAAATTGTACTTTCGACCAGGAGTTCGACCAGCAGGCAGGCTGGCCAACTGCCCATGTCCCCTCCCCCTGGCCAGGCTGACTGGAACCCACCCATGCACAAATTCATGTACCAGGTATATATATACCTGGTGGCCAGATTATTATGCATTCAAAGATCATAATAATCTGGCCACTCAGTGTAGTCATCCAGTAAGTAGCCAAGCTTGTTATTGAATCCATTACTTTGCAGATTTTTTTAAAACATTTTAAGTAGTTTCTGTTATACATAATTTTATTAAATAGATATGACAATCAACTCAAAAGCACCCCATAAACTCACAGTGAGAAGTTTCAGGTTAAGTAAAATTAAATTACCTAACATACCTTTACTTAATCTGGGTATAAAGGGAAGTTTGGATTTTTAAAATAAAATTCCACACCATAGAATGCTTCATGTTAAGTGAGTACTTAACTCCAGCAAATGTAGATCTTGGCAAGGAAACATTTTACTTTGCTCTCAGTAGCTTAGATACACATTTGGGTGGTTTTACAGCAAGCTTTTGTTTTAGTAGTGTAGGAAGCAGGATACAAGGCTCAGCCTTGGCTTTCTTTGGGAGGTACTTGAGCATGGTAATTAGTTAGACGTGACCATTTTCACCTCTTATGAGTTCATTTTGCAGCAAAGCTTAGAAATGAAGATTATACAGCGACACAAAGCTAAATTTAGGACAGAAGGACAAAACTTCTCCTTGGTAGACAGTGCCATTTATTTGGTTAGGTTTTCCTGTCTATCGGACCCAGCCTTTTTCTAGTAGATTAGTGTGTGTGTGTGTGTGTGTGTGTGTGTGTACACTAGGTACCAGACAGACATGCCTTTCTGCTTTATACTGTATTATGCTACTAGCTAACAAACAGCAAAATGTAGAAAATGGAATCTTATAAAGTTAATTTCGGTAGACAACTCAGAAAAAAGAGTGATCTCCCCTGGCTTAGGGGTGGGGGTAGGGGCAGTATTTCAAAAAATTTGCCTTTCCTGAAGGCTGATTGTTTGTAGATCTGTGGGGTTAGTCAAATCACTACACATGTGGCACTTCCAGCTGTGCCTGTGGCACTTGCATGGGTTCAGATAATCCCCTGTGAGTAGCTATTGGAGCAATGGAGCTCCTGAGGCTGGCTCACAGCACCCAGAGGTCTCTTAACTGTCAACAGGTTGCACACTGTTGATGAACTGGAATCCACTGGGGACTGTGATTCCCTAAGCAGAATACTATGCTGCCATTTCTCACAGAATACTATTTTCAAAATGGAGTTTTATTCAGGGATTTACTCCAACATGCTGACCATTCTCATTTACCAAGGCAGAATCATAGCAGAGGTATGGATCATCTAAACATGCAAATGGAAAGCAGCTGAAATAATGGACAAGGACAGATTTTTCAGCCAGTTCTCCAGCTTGTGGACTCCCCCTCCCCCCCCCACCCCAATTCCGAATTAAAAATACATGTAATAGTAATGGTTAGAATAGTCAATTTTTTTACAGGCAGAATTTTTTTTATTGAGGTTTTAATTTATGATCAAAGACAAGTTGGAAAAGCAGCTGGCTGCATGGGCTGCAATTTGTGGCCCTCTCTGAATGCAGAGAGGAAGAAGGAAAAAGAGCTGTGTAAAATGTATGAGTTCAAGTCCTCCTAGAATGATAGCTCGAGCCATTCAACTATTTTATAATCTGGGTTATGCACATCCAGAAGTGAAATGAAGAGATTTTCACTAACAAGTCGGAATTTGCAAATGCACTAAGTTTACCTTAAGAGAGAAGTGCCTGTAATCTCTGATCCTGGTGTCATTTTGAAGATTTGCTTCATGATTTTGTAGCCTTTTAAAAATTTGTCACAGCAAATGTGATAAACAAGTTTACAAAGCAACACTGTAGCTTATACATCATTTTAAAAGTTGTCTAACAGGCATCTATTGTCAGTGCAGCAACAATAAACAAAATAAAAGGAGAGCAAATAGGTCAACATGGAATCATAGGATTATCTTAGATAAACTAGT